ACTTTGGGGAAGTGATCAGTATTTTTTTTTTTTTTTTTTACACAATTTGCTTATAGCAAAGAATTACTTTGCTATAAGCAAGCATTTACCTGAATGAAATCGATTCATTCAGCTTTTTTTTTTTTTTTTTTTTTTTTTTTTTTGTGCTTAGCTGTGATTTGGTCACAGCTAATCACATGACATGTGCATGTGATTAGCTGTGACCATTCAAAGCTAGGCACTAGTATACAATGGAAGGCATCATGAATGAAGCTATCCATTGTATACAACTGTCATGTGACCTGCTGTGATTGGTCACAGCAGGTCACATGGTACCAGCAACGGGAGCCGGTACTCGGATCTGTCATCGGCCGTGTCCGAGGTGCACGGCCCGTGACAGATCCCGCTGCTGCGCCGCTCTGCATTACCGCAAACGGTGCATGTGCGGGAGCATGCCAAATGGCGTGCACCCAGAATGAAGAGGCACATCTGAAGCCGCCAAACGGCCATTGGCCGGGCGGCTAATGGTTAAATACACACAAACTGTCTCATACCATAATAATAACTTTCTTTACAGCAGAATACTGGTACCTATAATGGAATAATGTTAATTAAGGAGGAGCTCTACCTAGTCTAATAAAAATTATAATTAATGAATAAATGATAATTAATAACACAATTATATTAAAATAAAAATATTCTGAATATTAAATCATTTTAATTTTATAATTTATGTAAATTCCCATACACTCTAAACTCGATCATAACTCAAACTCCTACCCCCATTAAAAATTAGAAATAAAACAGTTCAAATCCAGATCTACATTCAAACCCCTAGGTCTTAAAGTCTGCAATTCATATATCCAAAATGTTTTGTTCTTAGAAATGGCCTAGATTTTATCACCCCCCCTCCAATGTGTATCCACCCTATCTATTCCACTAAATTTTACACCACTAGGGTCACAGTTGTGACAATCCCTAAAATGTCTCGAAAGACAATGGTCTTTCTTCCCTTTTTTTATGTTTGCAACATGTTCACTTAATCTTTTATGTAACGGCCTCGAAGTCCTACCTACATACTGCAGCAGACAGGGGCATTCCAATAAGTAGGTGACAAAGGGGGTTGTGCAAGTGATAAAATTCCTAATATTAAAATAATTACCCGTACTGCATGAAGTAAAACCTGAAATCACTCTTGTTTTTATATTAGTGACTTTGCATATACAACATTTTTTACACAGATAAAAACCTTTAAAATCAAACATATGCTTTTTCTTTTGAGAGGAGATATAATATTTTTTACTAAAACGTCTCTCAAATTTTTTGGTTTTCCTATATATAAATGGGGGCTTTTCAGACTTTAAGACCTAGGGGTTTGAATATAGATCTGTATTTGAACTGTTTTATTTCTAATTTTTAATGGGGGTAGGAGTTTGAGTTATGATCAAGTTTAGAGTGTATGGGGATTTACATAAATTATAAAATTAAAATGATTTAATATTTAGAATATTTTTATTTTAATATAATTTTATTATTAATTATCATTTATTCATTAATTATAATTGTTATTAAATTGAGATTAATGGCATATTTAGGGAGAATAGTGTGATAGTGATATGAATTTTAGTAATTTTTAATATTGTAATAATTTTTAACAATTTTAATAAATATATAATTTTAGTGGGCATAACTTCAGGTAGATGGATTTAGACTAGGTAGAGCTCCTCCTTAATTGACATTGTTTCATTATAGGTACCAGTATTCTGCTGTAAAGAAAGTTATTATTATGGTATGAGACAGTATGTGTGTATTTAATTATAGGTTTATTTACTTTACACTCATAGGTATATATAGAGCATAGTAGAGATACATTAGCCTATGAGTATATTTATGTGATTTTATATAATATGTGCAATAGATACAATTTTATTGGTGTTAGTGTCATGGTAGGATTATATGTTACTGCTATATAAGGGGTCTCTGTTGGGCTGTCCTTCCTAGCTTATACCGGACAGTAAGGGCAATATTCCCTTCAATATGGCGGCACGTGTATCGGCGCTTTAGAGAGGAGGGTTATAAATAGAACTGTCCTGCTTGACGATCGTATCCCTTATGATTAAGTTGATGATGAAACGCGTCAAGGGAAGTGACATCAAGACGCACACGGGGACCGGAAATATACCGGTGGCCATTTTGGGAAAGGGAAAGGATCACCTGTGAGAGCCTGGACGTTCCTGGATGGCAGAAAGGTTATTTCATTGTATTTAGAGCGGGTTTAAAGCTTAAACAATGTGATCATTTTGAATTAAAGTTTATTATTGCATCTTTCTTGGCGGTATTACACTATTATTATCCCTCGTATATGTACATCCATATGGAGCAAGGTGTATGAGGATACTTGGAGTACTATGGCTGATGTATCCAGGTAGTGCCGTGGAGACAGTATATGCCTTGTGGAGATCTACAGGAGGGCCATTTCCCATCAATCATTGGATTATATTATATAGCATCATTATTTTGGATTGTTGGTAAGGGTATCCACTCCTTACTATATTTATAGAAGTGTACACAGTGTTTGTTTGTGCGGGGGACACTGAAGAGTGATTCACACACACATTGTTGTTCCACCGTTTGATTCACAGTTTTATCACAATTTTTTCACTATTTGCACTGCAAATAATTTTATGGGTTACTCACTTGAGTGATGTCACATGTTTTGATGTAGTTTAAAAGATAATGCACTATGTGATGTTTCTCTTTTTTGAGGGAAAATTTATTGTGGATATCGTTGGAAGTACTTATATTTCTTTAGGACACTAATTTTTCACCGTGATTACACAAGAAGGCTATGGTTTATATATTTTTGGACTAATTAGGAATTGGACTGCACTGGTATTTATTTTGAGGGGTTTTTCAACTATTTGGTAGCAATGTCCAAAAAATATTTTACTAGCTTGGAGGCGCTCAAAATCCTCAGCATGTTGGATGAGAGCAGCGGGGAGCTGTCACCATCCAATTCCGATTTGGAATACGAGCCAGTAGAAAGTAGTGGGTCAATGACCGAATCGGAGGAGGAAGCAGTCCTTCCTAAAAGGATACGGCACTCTGAAGAGCAGACAACAACAGGCAATGCCATACACCCCAATGGTCAATCAGCAGACACCAATGGCACTAGACCCCAAGATGAAAGGCTCAGTACCACCACTGGCGCACCCCACCAGACCCCAAGAATTAGGGCCCAAAAATATGTTCCTGACACCCTGACAAACCCTTTATGGCTGCCTTCTAGCTCAGGATCAGCTTCAATCCCACCTTTCACCGCACAGCCAGGTGTGCAGACCAATACTGAAAATTTTTCTGAAATTGATTTTTTTAAAATTTGTTTTTCCCTGCAGATTTACTGCAATACATTGTGGACCAGACAAACCTTTTTGCTAAAATTGTCATTCAAAGTGCGAGAGCACTGAAAGCTGAAAAGTGGTCTGGGAAGGAAGGGGGTAAAAGTGCCCTGTATTGAAGTGGTTAAACCACTATTCATTCTAACCCTAACCAATGCACTGAGTTAATTTACCACTAAATGGTCTTGTGTTTATTTCCTGGTACTAGCTCACAGCCAAGTTAAAGGTATCTACACTCATATTCTTCTAAGTGTTTGCAGTGACTTTCATTCAACCAGGTGAATCAGGGGGGCTAAGGCTGTTCTTGGAGTTGAGGTGCAGAACAAAGAACCCAAATTACCAAGGGGCTCCTTCGGGGGTAGCGCTACTTTTGCAAGCAACAAAGAGTACAGACACAGGTATTACTACAGGAATTAGGAGACAACGGATAAAACAGCAGTGTAAAATTGGCCAGCAGTAGGTCATTGTAATGAACAAGGCTATTTTCTAAAAACAGCACAGACTGGGGTTTTACTACACAAACTAAAACACTTCAGAAGATACAACAGTGCAAAAGCAGGCCAGTAGCAAGACATTTTTAATTAGGGATAATGGGCCTAATCAGTGTATGCCTAACTTTTATCTAGGAGGATTGGGGGTACAATAAATGTCACTGATATATAATGAGGGGGTTTAGGTACTGTGCATATTGTTGCGCTTACTTGTTTTCTTTCAAACGATGCAGCAGCAGGTTGTGGACTGAAAGCAGCTCAGTACATTGACACTATTGGGGAAATTTACTAAAACTAGTGCACAGAGAATCTAGTGTGGCTGTGCACAGTAACCAATCAGCTTCTAGGTTTTATTGTTAAAACTATGCACTGCTACACCAGATTCTGAGTGCACCAGTTTTAGTAAATCTCCCCCTATGGCTGCTTTATTCTTCTATTCCAAAATCCCTCTATTGGTCCTTCTAAGTCTTTGGCCATAGTTCAAAGCCATGCAGTGTATTTTGACTTTGAAAAAAAATATCCTAGACAAAACTGCCTATGAATTCACTGGGACCACAAATCACTAACCTGCAGAATTTCCCTTAAACCTATGGTAGCAGCAAATTCACACCTCATCTTTACAAGGTACATGTCAAATACAGCTATAGTGACTAGTGATGGGCCAAATACCCCCGTGTTCAGTTCGCGGTCGAACATTTGAACCTAATGAACGTTCGACCACAAACTTCGAACTCAATGCAAGTCTATGGGACTCAAACTTGTAAATAAAAAATGCCCATTTTGAAGGCTTATGTGCATGTTATTGGCCATAAAAGGGGTATGGGGACTCAGGTACTGCCCTGAGGGACATGAATCATTGAAAAGAAAATTTCCAAAAAGTGCTTTTTTTAAAGGGGCAGCTTTTTTCATTGCTTAAGGTAAAAAAAAAATATTTTAAATGTCATGCCAGGGAGGCCCTTTAACCGCCTCCCGCCCGCCATATAGTACAATGACGGGCTCAAGGTGGTTCTCTCGTTCTGGGAGGACATCATATGACGTCCTCCCATTCTAACCGCGCATGCGTGGCTCCGGGGGGGGCGCGCAGCGCAGCGATCGGCGGGTGCACTGTGTCCCTCGGACACAGCGAATCACAGATCAATGGAAAGAGCCGAAGATCTCGGCTCGGTCATGTGATCAGCTGTGTCCAATCACAGCTGACCACATGTAAACAGGGAAATGACGGTTATCGGCATTTCTCTCCTCACAAGCTGTCACGCTGACAGCTCGTGAGGAGAGGAGCGCCAGTAATCGGCATTCATTGGAGGGGACATGTACACAGATCATCAGAGCACTGATGATCAGTGTGCCCTGATGATCTGTGCAGCCCCAGCAGTGCCACCTGTCAGTGTCCATCAGTGCCAATGCCAGCTGTCAGTGCTCATCCATGCCACCTGCCAGTGCCCATCAGTGCCACATCAGTGCCACATTTCAGTGCCTACCAGTGCACATCAATACCACATATCAGTGCCCATCTGAGCTGACTTTCAGTGTCACCCATCAGTGCAAGTCAGTGCCACCTATCAATGCTAGTCAGTGCTACCTATCAGTGTGCATCAGTGCCGCCTATTATTGCCCCGTCAGTGCTGTCTATCAGTGCCAGTCAGTGCCACCCATCAGTGCCAGTCAGTGCCGCCTACCAGTGCCAGTCAGTGCCGCCTATCAGTGCCATATATGAGTGCTGCCTTTCAGTGCCCATCAGTGATGCCTGTCAATGCCCATCAGTGCCACCTGCCAGTGCCTCCTCATCAGTGCCCATCAGTGCCACTTATCATTGTCCATCAGTGCAGCCTATCAGTGCCCATCACTACAGCCTCATTAGTGCACATCAGTGAAGGAGAAAAATCACTTATTTACAAAATTTTATAACAAAAACTAAGAAAAAAAATTTTTGTTTTTCAAAATTTTTTGTGGTTTTTGGTTTGTTTAAGAAAAAAATAAAAAACCCAGAGGAGATTAAATACCACCAAAATAAAGCTCTATCTGTCACATAAAAATGAAAAAAAATTTCATATGGGTACAGTCTTGTATGAGCGCACAATTGTCATTCAAAGTGTGACAGCGCTGAAAGCTGGAAATTGGCCTGGGCTGGAAGGGGGTAAAGTGCCCTGTAGGCTAGTGGTTAAACTACCTGCAAAGTTGCCCATCTGTACAATGTATAGAACCTGTTGCAGCAGGACTGATATTTAAAAAACAACATTTTTATAAAAAAAATAACAAAGCAGCGTCGGGTCCCCCCTCCTAATCCATACCTTTAGGTCTTGTAGGAAGGTTAGGAGGGACCACACAGTAAAAAATTCTAAAGAAAAGGTGCATGGGGTTCCCCCTAAAAGCAATACCAGGCCCTTTGTGCCTAGTAGGACTTTTAAGGGTAACCCCTCCTCCCAAAAATGGGGTGGGGAATGTGTGGGGTTCCCCTAAAAGCCTTACCAGGCCTGTTAGCCCTGGTAGGCCATTTAAGGGGAACCCCTCAAAAATATTGGGGGGAAAAAAGCATAGATTTCCACAAAAATCCCTACCAGACCCTTGATCTGAGCACAGGCCAGACAGTTAGGGGGGGGGGGGGGGGTGATCGAGTGTCCCCCCCCCCTCCCTGCAGCTTAAATTAGCACTCAGTGTGCTCTGCATTTATGAATGTGTGTCAGCTGTGTTCATATATATACTACATCTACATATACCAAAAACTGTTTAAATACTTAAGTGGTTGCAGCAGTCTTTAGGGTGTTTATTAACACCCAAATGTACAACTTAAGATATTCTTAAACCGCACATCTCATTATCTACCATTAAACATTACATAGGTGTGTAATCCCTACACAACCTCAAATATAACAGTAAATAAAGTCCCAAATCTGTGAATAGTGCCTGCGCTCATGTTCTAACTTGATTACAGTGCTTCACTTGTCCAGCTTAACCACTTGCCGTCCGCCCGCTCTTTTTAAACGGCAGGACGGTGGCACTCCAGGGGCGGGTTGCCGTTCATAAACAGCACCCACATTTTCTAGCTGTGTGCGCTCCCTGGGAGCGCGCAGCACCGTGATCCGGTGCCCGCTGTGTCCTCCGGATACAGTGGAACACCGATCGTCGGACAGGACCTCTGTGCGATTGGCCAATCACTGATCACATGCAGAGTAGTAAGCAAGATGTCACTTGTGACATCATTGCTTACTACGTGTGAAATCTGTGAATGATCAGAGGTCACATGGTACAGGACTATTCACAACAGCCTTGTACCATGTGACAAGCTGTGACCAATCACAGCTCACACAGTAGTTCTCAATGGCTGCAAGAATGCAGCCAGAGAGAAGGAGAAATTATTGCTTTTACAGCCTTTATGGGTGTAAAAGCAATCAGTGTAAAAAAAAAAAATCTTCATCACCCCCCCACAAGTAGTACAGTGTCACCATGGTGACACTGTACTGCTAGGGTGACAGTATGTAAAAAAACAAATATTATATAAAAAAATTAAAAAAAAATGTTTAAAAATTGTTTGGTTATAAACTAATTTGGGTTATTTTTTTTTTTTACTAAAAAGATAAAACGGAATAAATTTTGGCCAAGATTTATGATGAAATAATATTTATTTGCAAAATTTTATAAGAAAACACTTTTTTTCAAAATCTTTGGACATTTTCATTCACATAGTAAAAAAAAATAAAAATCCCAGTGGTGAATATATACCATCAAAATAAAGCTTTATCTGTCTAAAAAAAAATGCTAAACAATTCATATGGGTGCAGTGTTGCATGACCGCACAATTGTCATTCAAAGTGTGATAGTGCTGAAAGCTGAAAATTGGCCTGGACAGGAAGGGGGTAAAAGTGTCTGGACTGGAAGTGGTTAATTAAAGTGCTCCATTTATCGGTGCTCAGAGTGCCCCACAAAGACTAAAACTCACCCTCTGTAGGTGACCATCTATTCCTAGAGTGGTCTTCAGTGCTTGTGGGGCATATTCCAATGAAGCTTTATTTCTATCCCCACCCTCCCTGTGGTTTACCAGGTCACATGCCCCCGGCATGCTGATGGGGACAAGGGCCTCTTCCCCACAACCCTGATATAGGGGCTCATTAGCATCAGCATACCCCTTTAAATAAGGGGGCACCCTGATGCTGCCCCCCTTGTGAATGAGTAAGGGGTACTTGTACCCTTACCAAATAACTAAAGGGTTACATTTAGAAAAGATAAAGACGCCAGACTTCTGAAAGTCCTTTAATTGAAAATTGCAGAAAAAAAAATTAAAAAAAAAATAAATAAATAAATATATATATATATATATATATATATATATATATATATATATATACATACATACCGGTGTGTGTGTGTGTGTGTGTGTATATATATATATATATATATATATATACAGTGGGGCAAAAAAGTATTTAGTCAGCCACCAATTGTGCAAGTTCTCCCACTTAAAAAGATGAGAGAGGCCTGTAATTGGCATCATAGGTAGACAAAATGACAAAAAAAATCCAGACAATCACATTGGCTGATTTGGAAAGAATTTATTTGCAAATTATGGTGGGAAATAAGTATTTGGTCACCTACAAACAAGCAAGATTTCTGGCTCACAGACCTGTACCTTCTTCTTTAAGAGGCTCCTCTGTCCTGCACTCATTACCTGTATCAATGGCACCTGTTTGAGGTTGTGGACAGGTGTCTTTTATACTGATAACAAGTTCAAACAGTCACACTCCAAACTCCACTATGGTGAAGACCAAAGAGCTGTCGAAGGACACCAGAAACAAAATTGTAGACCTGCACCAGGCTGGGAAGACTGAATCTGCAACAGGCAAGCAGCATAGTGTGAACAAATCAACTGTGGGAGCAATAATTAGAAAATGGAAGACATAGAAGACCACTGATAATCTCCCTCGATCTGGGGCTCCACGCAAGATCTCACCCTGTGGGGTCAAAATGATCATAAGAACGGTGAGCAAAAATCCCAGGACCACACGGGGGGACCTAGTGAATGACCTGCAGAGAGCTGGGACCAACATAACAAAGGCTACCATCAGTAACACACTACGCCACCAGGGACTCAGATCCTGCAGTGCCAGACGTGTTTTCCTGTTTAAGCCAGTACATGTCCGGGCCCGTCTGAAGTTTGCTAGAGAGCATTTGGATGATCCAGAAGAGGATTGGGAGAATGTCATATGGTCAGATGAAACCAAAATAGAACTGTTTGTTAGAAACACAACTCGTCGTGTTTGGAGGAGAGAGAATGCTGAGTTGCATCCAAAGAACACCATACCTACTGTGAAGCATGGGGGTGGCAACATCATGCTTTGGGGCCGTTTCTCCGCAAAGGGACCAGGACGACTGATCCATGTACAGGACAGAATGAATGGGGCCATGTATCGTGAGATTTTGAGTGCAAACCTCCTTCCATCAGCAAGGGCATTGAAGATGAAACGTGGCTGGGTCTTCCAACATGACAATGATCCCAAACATACCGCCCGGGCAACGAAGGAGTGGCTTCGTAAGAAGCATTTCAAGGTCCTGGAGTGGCCTAGCCAGTCTCCAGATCTCAACCCCATAGAAAACCTTTGGAGGGAGTTGAAAGTCCGTGTTGCCCAGCGACAGCCCCAAAACAACACTGCTCTAGAGGAGATCTGCATGGAGGAATGGGCCAACATACCAGCAACAGTGTGTGCCAACCTTGTGAAGACTTACTGGAAACGTTTGACCTCTGTCATTGCCAACAAAGGATATATAACAAAGTATTGAGATGAACTTTTGATATTGACCAAATACTTATTTTCCACCATAATTTGCAAATAAATTCTTTCCAAATCAGCCAATGTGATTGTCTGGATTTTTTTTCTCATTTTGTCTCTCATAGTTGAGGTCTACCTATGATGCCAATTATAGGCCTCTCTCATCTTTTTAAGTGGGAGAACTTGCACAATTGGTGGCTGACTAAATACTTTTTTGCCCCACTGTATGTATATATATATGTGTGTGCATATATATATATATATATATATATATATATATTTTTTTTTTTTTTTTCTGCATACAAGTGCACTGTATGTTTAGTCTGATGGTATATTGTTATATTTGTATTTATTCATTTCTTAGCACACTTGTTGTTTGAGCACACAGAGCATATATAGTTTTCCCTATTTAGGGATGTATACAGTCACTGGGCAGGAGGGAAACATTTTGTTAGCCCATAGGGCATTGAGGCCCCCACATGTAAGTAGGGTGCTTATATCCTTATAATAGAGGCAGAGCAGCAACATTTTTGTTTGAACTCTAAGCTACTGCCTTACAATTAACATCAGCCTTGCCAGCCTACCATGTGCACTTCTTCAGTTGGCCAATGAACAATTTGCTTAACCACTTCCATGCATATGTGTGGCATCAGTGTGAGTGGACCTTAAGACCTGCATGCTGCACATACAGTATGCTGCACCATTGTTGCATACTGAAAGTGTGCTCCCAGCACACTGAATGAATTGTCACAGACAGCTCCTGATCACCGTTAACGATCAGGAGCTGGTAGTAGGGGTACCCTATC